TCAAGATATTCTTCAATAACTTTTTTTCTGAAGGTCATAGAGACTTGGAAGTTGGTTCCATCTCAACTAATGTGACTATGCCCAATCCATTGGGACCACCCCCGAGCTTCTACGACCTTCGGAAATCGTAAAACCACCAAATCTAAAAAAAAAAGTACAAGATATTTGTGAATAACTTTTTTTCTGAAAGTCATAGAGACTTGGGCATTTCATGATTGATAAAGTGTAGCCTGCCAAACAACCACACCGAATTTCAGCACGTTTCGAGCAAGCAGCGCAGAGTTATTCACCCTATGGTGAATATGGGTTAGGGTTGGAATTAGGGTTAGGGTTAGGGTTGTCATTAGGGTTAGGGTTAGGGATGAAAACCCATTTGAGATCAAGTTATTCTTGAATAACTCCTTTTCTGAAGGTCATAGAGACTTGGGCATTTCATGATTAATAAAGGGGAGGCTGCCACGCACCCACACCGAATTTCAGCACTATGCAACAGACGATAACGCATATAAATTAATGGTGTAATGTGTAATGTGTGTAATGTGCCAGGGTTAAAATAAGTCTGGTCTGAATTAAGATAAGATAACACAAGATAAGAAATAACCCAACACTGGGGAAATTTGCAAGCAGCAAGGGTGTCTGAATTTGAAATATGTAAAGTAATAAATAATTATAAATGTAAGGAAATATAAAAACATAACTGGAATAAAATACTAATATATACAGTGTAAGAATGTGTACAGTGAAATGGGTTTCACATGGTTCTACAGCTGATTGTACAGTGTCACTGCTGCAGGAAGCAACGACCTGTGATACCTCTCCTCCTCTCTAAATACAGCCCACCTCCTCCTCAGACACTCAACAGGACACGTGATGATTTGTTTATGTTTGTCTGCAGGCTGAGTCTTTGCGTTTTTGAGCTGAAGCTGAATTCACAGCAAATTTATCCTGCAGCGCCCCTCAGCGGCACAAACGCGAAACGCTGCATGGCATTTTGTTTGGCGCCGATGGAGGGAGTCACTCCTGAGATCTTTGGTCAGTCAGACGGCAGAACTTCCGGTCGGCATTTTGTTCTACGAGAGGAGAGCCTCTTGATGATCGCAACAAACGTCATATTTCTGGTTTACTGTCGAAATTGGCTGCACTCGGTGTTTACGTCGGCGCAGACCGACTGAAACTCAGAAGAACGAATGTTTCCCCGCGAACGTACGTTGGAACATTCACCCGCGAGTGACGGAAGAAGAGCGAATCAGTCCGACCCGGATTATTGTTGATAGCTAGCAGGCTAGCTTAGCGGCTAGCTGGCAAGCCAGTCGAGTTCCTTCTGGAGGAGCTGCGAGAGAAGAAAGGGGGAGCTAGAGATACGGACACAAACCAAGCTAAAACATTCCCCTCCCTTTCAACGCAACATCCGAAGGTAAATACAACCACCCGTGTCTCTTTATAAATCAAACTTTTTAATTTGCGATTTTTTTTCCGCCACGTTAATAAAAGCTCTGCTGCAAGACCACCTACGGCGTCGTTAATCGTTGACCGGGAGGTAACGGAAGCTAGCGAACTAGCCAGCCAAGCTAGCTAGGTGTGTTTTTGCTCCGCCGAGGCGCACGGCCTCAACTGGATGTCATTTGTCGAGCCCGAGGATTGGGCCGTTGCCACGGATTTAGTATCCGTGCAGTCGCCTTCACATGGACCCACTCAAACCCGTTGCTTTCTCTCCGAGCTCAGGGGAAAACCTTTTAGCATTTATCAACCCCCGATTTAGCGCTTCCTCGTCATTTTTTGAATCGCCTTTTCTCTTTTTGAACGGGGGAGTATCGTTAGAGGCTAACTCACAACACTCAGAGCTAGTTAGCACAACTAGCCAGCCATTAAAACACGAATATTGTTGTTAGCGAATGTTTTGGCAGCTAGCGTTAGTGATTTTAGCGGCTACCACCAGCGCTAAGTGTAGCTTCGCAGTTAGCACCGCAGCATCCACACAGTCAACTTCTAGGAAACTGTATCGTTTGTGGTTTTGCTCGTAAGTAGCTGGCAGCATCTGGTGAGTCGGTTAACTTAAGATAAACTGTTCATTGAATGGCGACTGCAACTACACGCCAACGAAGTGCTGGACATTCATTCGAGTTATTTGCCTCCCGCTGTTGTTTTTGTTTGTGCTGGATCTTTTAGCAGGGCTAACGCTGCCTTTCGTTGCCATTCTGTGTTGAAATGTTTTGACTGAGCTCAGGCTGCGTTGCCTCAGTTGTAGTCACTCCACATTTGGAGTTTGGTGGAGATGTAGCTGTTGTTTGTGGGAATCGCGGGTATTTGTTGCATGTCCACAACAAATGCAGCGTGGTGGCTTTCCTGCAGACACCAGTTTGCAGAGTGCGCACGGTGGCTGTGGCTACTGGAGGATGCAGCCCCCCACTACTGCCGCCACCATCACAGTGCATCTGTTCCTTTGTGCTGCCTCCTGCTTGTCAGTCTCACAGCTGTCAGCCAAGCCTCTGCGTACTGAGGGAGACCACATAGAGTGAGCATGCTAACAGTGTAACGTTAACAGTATCAGTCTGTTGATCTGTTGTGCTACAGACGTGTGGAATCGGTTCAGCATGTTTACAATTTGAGCACAACGATCCTCTTGCACTCGGATCTGGTTGCAACATTGTGTTTACAGATCTACATGGTTCCAGTAAGATGCAGAAGTTGCTGAAAAGGTTGTTGCATTTCTTTAGCAGTCAGTAAAAAGGGACAGTGCTACCCACTCTTGCATTCTTTGTTTGCAGATTGTATGGCAGTAGTGACATTCATTGCAAATATGAAAATGCATGTGTGACAGTCAATGTTGTGATGCTCTGCAATATGTTGTTGTTTTGGCAAAAAGTCTTAGTCCAACTTCTGCAGACACATCTTCTTCCAAAATTGTTCAAAAGAAGATTCAAATGAAGTTTTGTGTCCCAAAGTCTGATGCAGAGCCATGTTCTCTTTCAACAGATTGAAGGAGTAGGATTTTTTATCTGAAATGTCAGTGAGTCCACCCGAGACTGCACAGAATTCTTCAAAAAGGTAATATGATGGTTTGCATAATTTTTCATGTCACTGAGTTGTTATTATTGTTAATAATCATTGAGACAACTGAGAATGTTGGTGACACATTAAGATGCGGCTGATGTGTGTAATCAATATCTAATTTTGGATATCTGACATGTAAACACCTTTTTTATTTTGATTTCATTGACAATTATGTATCTACAAGTGAGCCCTGCACTGGCCTGCATTCAGCTTGTTGTAGCAGCCAGGTTTATCTCTAAAGCGTGGGCTGCGTTTGGATATTCTGAAATTGCAGCTGGCTTTTCCCTCTATTTTTCTTTGACCTCCCGTACTGTCTTCCTTGAGAGGTCAAGGACATGTAACAAGCAAAGAGAATTTAGACATATTAAGTGCAACACAGGACCCTAATTTGTGTAAATTTATCATATTATGCAGCAAGCGATTTGAAACTGCAAAGAAGATTTACTTCAGTTGGCTACTTATTTAGTTGCACAGTATTTGTGATGTCAAGTATGTATAATTTGTGAAGTCAAATTGAGAGTGAAATTGTAAAATAGTGGAATGTTGTTATGTATCCACACTTGGTATAGTATCTATCTACTGAATTACCAGGGCAATCAATGTCCAGGCTTATTTACTGGAAAGTAATATCTTTGAAAATGCAGTGATGTTAATATGGTGTTGTGTTTACAACTGTGTCACAGTGTACTTTCTATACAGAGAATGCACAGGTTTCCCTCTTTGTGATAGACATCAAAATGTACATGTGTATATCATATCTGTCATGAAGCTTAATCATAGTAATCTGACATGACATTTAAATGACTCATAAGATGCATCAATTAGTATAATGAGGCTTCACTTGATGAGACCTAATTCTTTCTCAAGGTGTAACAAAAATCACAAGAATTTAAAGATTTTATTTATTAACACTTTTTTCAGGGAATATAAATTGTGGTTTTGTAGCTGGTTATGGTTTGTAACAGTATAATTACATAGTATGCAGCAGCAGGATTGTCCAATAGTTAGTGACCCTGTTCTTTAAACATAAGGCCTAGATTCAATCATGTCATAATTTGCATTTGTTTTTCACAAGACTGCACTCATGCTCTTGGCGTTTTACAGAACCTCTGTCCCTGTATCACCTGCAGAGAGAACTGAGGATTCCTGTCATATAGATAGGGAAGCATACATAAATAATAATAAAAATAATAATAATAAGATATTAGTGTGACACGGTTGACGTCCTGTTTAAATGTAAAACAGACCCCGTAGGAATTTATCTTGATTGACAAGATCCAATACAATGCGTTTTTGTGACCTACAGATGATGTGATAGACATAGCAGTGTAAATATACAGTCGCAAATATCCTGCCATTCGCTATTTATTCTCTCTCCTAGGTGTCAGGAGATGTGAGGACGGGTGTCGTCCATCGACCCCCTGATCTACCTGTGTATCAACACACTCCCCCACCCTCACCTTCAGCATGAATGGGGATATGCCTCATGTTCCCATCACCACTCTCGCTGGGATCGCTAGCTTAACAGACTGTGAGTAACGCAGCTGTCCTGTGAACAACACTGTGACAGTTTCCCTTATGTCTCCTCTTCCTGTGTAAAAAGCCCAAATATTCTGTCTGAGGATGTCAATTTGCATATGTGATTCTGCATACTGTCTCCTGCCTTGTGTAATTATTTATCTTCCCACCTTTGCTCTTTTCGTCATCCCTCTCATCTCACCTCAGTGTTGAACCAGCTACCCCTCCCTTCCCCTCTCCCGGCCACCACCACTAAGAGCCTCCTATACAATGGGAGGATCGCAGAGGAAGTTACCTGCCTGCTGGGCTGTCGGGATGAGAATCTGGCCTCCCAGCTAGCCCATGGCCTCAACCAGGTGTCCACAGAGCACATGTGAGTACGCGAGTGAGAGTGTCTGTGTGGCAAACACATGTTTTGATTGTTAACAACTGTCTGTGTTACAACACGGAGTTTATCGTAACAAGGCTTTAAAAAGGATTAGTCAAAAGTATTTACAATAAATGAAACCACTGTTGACTTTTGGAGATCGAGTGATGATGTGTAGTTTTATACAAAAGATTAGTCTTGGATTAAATCATCAGAGACATGACCCTGATGCCAGAATACTTGTTAATACTTAACCTGTAGTTAAATTTACTGAATGTAATTGTTATATAACTGTATAATAGTTTTTCAATTTTCATTGTATTCTAAAAACTGTTTATAAAGTATAATTTATGTTTGAAAGCACAAAATTGAATCTAATCTTGTGTGTGATGTAGGGTTCTGCAATTGGGCTAAAATATGTAATTTTCACACACACATATATTCACTGTAAATCAAACCTTTATAATCAGTATCATGTGTTTTCTTGATGCAAAAACTCCTTTAAATATAATTTTGCTTTGTTAAATTTTGGATTTGTAACATCGCCCCTAAAGATTTAATAGAAGCAGATGTTTAAGAGTTACGATAACAAAATCTCTACAGGAGACAGAGGTCCATCTTCTCACATAGTATTATATTTTGTGAAATGTCCCAACCCAGAATAGTAGGCTGCATATCTATAAACTCCGTTTCATGTATATATTAAATACATGCATGCAATGGAATGTTTCATTCAACACTTTGTCTTTGTTCTTATCATTATTAATTTAACCACCTACTTATTTTGCGCCTGATATTATGTGAATATTCATCAATTTTATTTGTGCATGCTTTCAGAGAGCTGAAGGACAACCTGGGTAGCGATGAGCCAGAGGGAGATGCACCACTGTTGCTGCAGACCATGCTGGCCAGGAACCCTGGCATCTTCAGGGAGAAAAGTATGGAGACACTTCCAGTACCAGTCGCGCAATATGACACGGCAGCATACAATTGCATAGACAAGCTTTATGTTGATATTCTATTAACAAATATACTGTGTTTTTATTCCTAAACAGATGTGATGCAGCAGCCAATGGTACCACCATTCAAGATCACCCAGAATTCCATGCATAGCCCTGCCCAGTCTACAAACTTCCAGCCGGCTGCAATTTCTCCCAGTCCATCAAGGTGGGTTGTGCAGCCAGAATTAGATGAGCCCAATATATTATAACATTTGAAATAGTCACTATTTAGTTGTTTTTGCCGGCTACATCAGAATACTGTTTTCTAGTTACATGACTGATTTACTGGATATAGTATCATCAAATATCTGAAAGATATTACAAAAATACTGTCCAAAATAGATAATTATTTACTTCCTGGTTAGTTATGTAACTTCTCTCTGCCTTCTTGCTTACCTTCTCCTACCCTGTCCTGTCCTTCGTTTCTTCCAGTCGGTTTGTTTCGCCTCAGAGTGGGTCCAGTAGCCGGTACATGGGCCAGCAGAACAGTCCAGTACCCAGCCCCTACACTCCTCAAAGCCCCGCAACTGGTTACATACAGCAGTATCCCCACCAACAACCACCCAGCTATAACCAACACCAACAGATACAACAAGGTGAGTGAATATATGTGTATGTTTGTTTTGTGTGCATGATATGGGTCTGGGCCTCCTTGCCTGTGTGTGCACCCGGCTGATGTACATGATGTGTATGAGTTGTTTAAAGACTTGACAGATTTGCTTTGTTTAAAATGTGCACGTGTCTGGCTAAGTAGCCCAGTTTGTTTTATTTAAAGAGCTTATTTAAGGAGATCTGTCCTGTGGTGTGATTCATTGAGTTCTTATTTAAACCTGAGAGTGACAATTTTGCTTTCTGCCATGATAGTGTCTGGTAGATTTGATCAGCTTCACATAACTTGTAATGGAAAGTGCATTGAAATCTGTCACATGGGAATTTTACACAACTACATTTTTGACATTCTTGGTGTTGTTGTACTTTGTTCTGTGTGATCAGCGGCTGTGGTTTTATGGACAGCTCCATGAACACAATTCTGTTCCTTATTGAGCCACTGTTTATGCTAAATGTTAAATTTACTCTTCCTTAAGTTGCTTCACATTATCTCTCCTGTGCCTCATTCCGTCATTGCTTTAATTTATTTATTTTAGTCTTTTAGTTTGTTTCTCGATGTTTAACCAGAGATTTCCTGAATGTTTTATGAAACTAACACAATTACATACAGACACTGACGTAGATGTCTAGAGATTGATCTAATGGGCAGGATTTGATGCTGTTGGGAACACGCCTGTGCAGGGCACCTTTCACTATGTTGGTCCTGGAGGTCAGGTCTGAAAAACGGCTTTTGTCAGTACTGGCTTATCACCAGATTGTCATTGTTGGCAGACGTGCAAAAGTGCTGCAGACATTGATGTTTATTGGAACTTGAAATTTGACACTGTTTCGTAGTTATTCATTAGTGGTATTTGTGCTCTGTAGTTAAACAATTGAGGTGTTAATGTGCAAAATTGTATTGAATTGAATTATTCAGTGTTTTGTTTCTGTTGTCTTTAATTCTTAAAATTATTAAAAGATCCCATGTGAAATCTAAGTTCTCTGGACATGAATAGATTGCACAATAAATTCTCTACCAGCTGTGACATTTGTGGCTTCTACCATGTAATTGGTTGACTTCTGGCCAA